CGCTCCATGCGAAAAGGTGTGTGTGGTGGGGTGGGTGGGGGGGGGGGGGGGTCAACTTTTTTCAGGGCAAAATTAATCGAAGCTGAACATAGACAACAACACCAGTAGCCTACAAGCTACTTGTTAACAAGCTTAACGTGATGTATTGATATTAGCTAGTCATCTTTTAGCTAACTTTACCTTCATCCAACAGCTTGACTCATCTCAGTCGGTCAGTTTGGGGGAAAAACTGTGAAAAGTTCTTTGTGTTTTGCTGGTTTGCTGCCATGATTCTAACACACCTGCGTAGCTTTGCACAGCAGCAGCAGGTCTCCTTCACTGCCGGATAGGTGTAAACCCAGCGAGTGTAGTAGCGCTCATGTTGCGTTTAAAGGCGGCTCGGAAAACAGGTTACGACATGTTAACAACGGATTAACTGCTGATAAAAGTGACAGAGGAGACAGATATGGGAAGTGTGGAAGCCTCTACTGTATCAAATTGACATAGGAATAACATAGAGTTGGCCATTCTAAGTTAAAAACCCAGCGCATACAGCGTTCATGTTTTTTTGTTTTGTTTTGTTTTGTTTTGGGGTATTTTCCCCATCCAGACAGCTTCTCGCGCCCCCCCACCCTCCTCCCCTGTAATGGCACGGCGCCCCCCTAGGGGGCGCGCCCCACAGTTTGGGAACCTCTGGCCTAAGACAAGAGTTACATTTTTCAGATGAAGCTGAGGTTTTTGTCAAAGTTGATCAAATTATAACCAGTTCCAAATACCAGCCAGCTTAGAGACAAAACATTCAGATACATTAATATATTTCATTTTCATCATCACACTGACACCAAACACAACCAAATCAACAAAAGAATAAATTTATCAAGTTAAAACAGAAAATGTCAGCACATTCTTTCCAACAGAAAATCTGCAAGGCCACATAAGGAGAATTGTGCACATGATATGTTCTCACCTTCTGGTAAATTTAGAAAACTTTTCCAAGGCAACGTGGGCAAATAAGACAGAGTGGAGATGTGGGAAGCTGACAGGTGCTTGACAAAGAAGACTGGCTGCTGAAATTACAAGATGCTTCAACAAAACACCAGCTGAAGGCTGTGTACACTTACACTTTTTTTATTTAATGTAACAGATTTTTATGTCATTATGTCATGTTTGCATATTTAAATTGAAGTTATATGAGGAAAAAGTTCTAAAAAAATTATTGTGATCTCATTTTACATAACCAAAACTTGGCATTTTAACTGTCAAGCTGATTGTTTGATTAACTGATCAACAAAAGCAGGGATTTTTAAATAATTTGCCAGTATGTGTGTCAACACAATGCCAAGATGGAAAGACATCTGCATCGAACTTAACTGAAAAAATCAGCCTGTTGCCACCTTTTCCAAGAATAACATCCATTGCAACAGCAATGCTCACTTATGACAAAATACGTATTTTCCATCATCTACCTGTCATCCTCTCTCTCAGGTTAAATATTAAAAGTTTGCAAAGTTGCAACTGAACAACAGATCAGTTCAGATCGTATCATTGTTCAGAGAACACGTTTCATTTCAAAGGGAATTTGACAATTTATTCTGTTCACCACTGAAGTTTGTTTTCATCACCCTTTATGTTTCTGGTAGGCTTTTTTTTTAACATTAATCTGTTTCAAATTGAGGCAGTGAGCAGTGAAAACTTCCATCCATTGTGCTTCTACTGTCTTTTACTGTAAAAATATGTTTTTCTTCATGTTTTGCACAATTTCACCTCCTATAGTTTAGAACTCTACCTCTATATCTTCCCAATATTATTTATGAGCTCCAAATATATTCCTGTTCAAATTGAGCACTCTGCACAGGAAGTGATCTTGTTTCTTGTTTTTATTACTTTTGATGTCCAGCAGCAATAAGACCAAACACACACCAGGGACACATTAGAGATTCAAACATTACAGCTAAAGCTGTCAGTGGAGCATTCTTTATTGGTTCTCTAGCCTCGGTAATCCTCCTCAGTGTGATGTAAAACTAAGAGGTCTGGGGTAAGTTGACACCCGTGTTAAAACCATTCAAGATAAAAGTCGTGGTAATAAAAACAAAGATTTTAAGGTGCCATTGCCATTGCTGTCCAGCAAGAAATGTGCAGGTAAAATACAGATCTCAGAGATGATAAAACTAACATGTTCCGATACATTAAAGAGCTAAGAAGCCCGATTATTCTGTTTAATAAATGCAGTTTCTTCTTCTTGGAATCCTTGGTAATAATTTGTGATAATACTTAAAATATTTTTTTTTATAAATTTTTGAAATAGAATAAGCTAGAAAAACACACACACACACCAGGGACACATTAGAGATTCAAATACAACCTTTAATTTGAGTACATTTATTCACAAGGGGAAAATACTCAAGGACAATTTTGTATTTGCTGATAGAATATGCATAAGAAGTAAAATATCAGATTTTTTTCATACCAAATCCGATACTTTTTTAAAATCTATTTTTACCTTTTTGTTCCATCCTTTTCTTTAAAAGAAATGTTACGTAAGAACAAATATTTTCAAAACCTTTATTTCAGTCATCCCTTCTTGGAGTTAACATGAATTCAAAATCCAATGAAATACAATCTGTAAAACAAGATGGTCACTGAACTACAGAAGCTCAAGCACTGCACAGTCCAGATTTGCCAAAAATTTAATCTTTCTTCACTGCCACTTTGATTAATCGATAAAATCAATCAATTGCCCAACGCTACTGAACAGAATCTTAATCTGCAATGTCCAACATGCAGCCCATCAAGTTCCCAGGGCTCACAAGAACGTCATAATACTCTACCATATTTAATACTTGGCAAGAGATGATTTTCCATATAAATACTTTGCTTTATGCGGGACCCGTCTATATTGTTTGGTGCCAAAAGATCAACTTTTGCCTCATCTGGTCAAAGAAAAATCCTAAAAATGTTAACAAACCTCAAAGATGTATTGTGATGACAGACTTTTTCATGGCATGTCTCTCATAAGTGGTCTTAATGGTTTTAAAATATTTGAGTTTGAGATGTTACACTTTGCAGCTGAAGTAAAAGATTTAGTTTTAATCTTCCTTTCATGGAGCTCATTGCTTTAGCAATACATGGTTGTCACGCAGGGTTGTTCATCTCATTTTCAGTTATTTAAATTATTTAAATCTGATTTGAGCAGACGTAGGTGAGTAACTATGTTTGTGTAGCAATTTGATCAATTTTTATAATGTTCAACATGTTGTGATTGCCTTGAATACAATGTTCTCTTGTCTTTCCTGTTTTGAAGAACCACAAGCTAAAATCCTGTCTGTACAAGAAAAAGTTTAAGAAAAATACAAAATAAATACGCCAGTAAGATTTTTCTTACATGAATTGTTAACAGTGTCAACAACAGTGTAAAAATCAATTATTTCTTTTAAGGGAATTTAGATTAGTTTAGTTTTTCTATTGTTGTTTTTTTGTAGTCTGAGATTTTATTTTACGGTTCTCCAATTTTGCTAAAACAAAATTAGCTGCTGCAATATGGCTCCGGTTTATTGTTTATGCCTTCTGCACAAGTAATCTTGCTGTCATGGGGTCTGCGTCTGCTGCACAACCAGAGTCCCTCTGCACGAGCTTGATGGGAAGTGTAATGACGAAAGCAATATCCATAGAGACAGCTCTGCTCGCCTGCTTACCTGCATACTGACCAGCAGCATCACCAAACTCTGCATTTAATCTGACAGTGAGACTAATCACACTTTATCTCACACAGCAAGGTGATTTCCTCTCACAAAAAAAAGAAAAACCACTTTAAAAAAATACAGGTTGTAATGTCAGGTCTCATATTCACAGACACAGCCAATAAGCAATAAACACATTAATCTTTATGATAATATCATCCCCCGGTGCATTTTTTTATTGTAAGGAACAGACATTTTAATGCACTTACAGATTTCTGTCATCTCAATACTGCCATCATGTGTCCAATCAGCCACATACTGAGAACCAGACAGGACATAATCAAGTCTTGGATAAATTAAGCAAACAAGCACAACTTGACTTGATTATATCCACATATGTGCAAAAGGTGTTTTATTTATTTATTTATTTTGCTAAAGTTTAGTTTTGAACTGCTTCAGATCAGTGATATTTGTTCTTTTATATCTTCTAGTTTTAGTTTAGTCAAAAGTGGGCTCTCTCCTGCTGGGCTCACCCTACCAACCTCTGAGATTGACCAAAAACACAGTGAAGGCATCAACCCTGAACCCAGACAACAACCTTCATTTGGGTCAGAACAGACAGCTGCATGCTGTGTCACCACCTGTTGAGGCACAACGTACCTGTTTACATCCGCTGACAGATTCAACCATTGACCCTTTTCCTCCTTCAGTTAAAACTACTGACAGTGATGTCTAAAGCAGGAATCGGCAGACGGAAGCAAAGCAGCATTAGAATGCATAAGTGTTTCCCATTGTCTTACCTTTCATTTGTGTCAAGTGCAGCGTGGATCTGTCTCTGTCAGAAGTCCACTTATCATGAAAGATATCCTCCCCTCGTCCAGCCTCTGCTTTGCTCTCCTCTCCAATTGCTGTTTTTTTTTTCTTTTTGTTCGCTTTTGGTGGCGTAGAGGGAATAGGAGTGCTGCCACAGGTGGCAGGAACTACACATGCAGACGCACAATGCAAGGAGGGGAGAGGGTAGATGCTGCTGCAGCAGCCAGCCGTGGCTCAGTCAAACCCAGCAACATGTGGTTGCAGAAACTGTTTCATTTATTTCTTCCTCTGCCTCCTCCTCTTCATCCTGCAGGAGGATGCAGGAGCTTGAGGTTCAAAGAGAGAGAGAGAATCCAAAGCAACCTCTCCACCTAACCCTACTCAAAGCACCATCCCCACCCACTCGTTGTAAGCTCTTGTTAACACTATCAACAATTCAGATATCCCCTTTAATAACATGCATGTCATGCAGTGTAACACCAGCAGCAGATGGCTGGAAGACAGCGCACATCATCTGTCATGCAACATCAACAGGCAGCCGGTCGCGCAGGAGCGTTTTAAATCTAAAGTGGGCGTTTGTCTGTCACAGGGTTTCGTGATCACTTTGTTTGATACATCTGGTTTTTGTTTTTTTTGCTCTGCAAAGGTTTCCATGACAATTAATGTGTGTTTGAAAAATCATTTTGGTGCTGTTGTAAATGTGGAGATGGTCTCTCTGCGTGCGTGTGTGTGTGTGTGTGTGTGTGTGTGTGTGTGTGTGTGTGTGTGTGAGTGTGGGTGGGTAGCTGGGACTCAACATCCGCCTCTAAATTGGATTAACCTGCAGCCAATGGAACTCACCCTTTTGTCCTCCCCCTCTTTCTTGCCTCAGTGCTGCTCTCCCTTCCTCACTGTCTCTTTTTCTCACAACCAAAGGAACAACAGAGGGGAATGTAGTCAATTTGTTGCCAGTATCTCTAAAGTTGTTCACATAATGCATAAGATGTGAATAAAACAAAATTGAAATCATCATCTGTAGGAGCTGAAATAAAGAAAGTGCAAGTTTTGGCTTGAAAAAATTTATGGCGCTCCATATATTGTAAGCTTTTCTTGCTTCCTTTAGAACCTCGCCATGCTGCACAGTATTTATTTTGAAATGTTGCCCTTACTGTATGGTATTGTTATCTTTGTGCTGTTTTTATATGTTTCATATTTTATCTTTGTGTGAACCTATTGCTTTGATCTTCTGTCTCTTCATTTGCTGCTGTTGCACTAGAATTTCTGCATTATTGGATATTAAAAGAACTGGATAATAAAAGAATAAAAGAGAGTTGTAGTCTCCTAACTACAACCGGTATTGTTATTGTTGGAATATCTTTCCAGTTATTGACAGGGAAATATATTTAATGTGTACCAGTTTTGTTCATGAAAAATATATTTTGCCTAAATGCAAATTCAGTATTAATTTGATGCAGACTTTTCTATTGATCGGGTCTAGGAAATTTGCTAATCAAATCCAGTCTTGGTAGGAATTTTGAGTTACGAGGAAAATTGCTATGTCTTTCAGGCACCACTAGGGGGAGACTGCATCTTTGGAAGCCTCATACTTCCCGCCCTAATAATTCGCTGGGCAAAACTTGAAAAAAAAAAAAAAGTGATGCCTTCAGGTATTCCAAGTAAAGTGAGTAAATATGTCTTTTTACAAGTATTTCGGGTGTTTCAATTTTAATCTGAAAAAGCAAATGAGTTCGACGTATTTTTTAATGAATAAAAAAAACGTTGAAATCATATTTAAATCAAGTCATTCAGAGCAAAAAATAGAAAATAACTGAACGAGTTATAGCAATTTATATATAAAAACCTTTTTTCAGAAAGATATATAATAATTTCACCTCTGTATAATCTAATAAATAACTATTATTTGTAGATAATTTATTTTGAGTCTATTTAACACTTTTATTGAACGCCCATTTTTATCGGAGCTTAAAATTACTATAATGATAATGATTGTGAAGGCAGCAGTAACCGTTGAGTCTATTTCAAAGAAGGCAACGTGACAACAAACTTTTGTGAAAGGTTCGTTTCTTTAAAAAAATAATTTCCTAAAATGGCTGAAGACTCGTGGGCGTTAGCAGTGGACGTTCAAGAGGCGACAACTCCATCATTTCAGGTTAGTTAAATGTCTCATTATATAACAACACGTGTTCGTTGCTCGTTAGCAGATTAGCATACGGTGTTAGCTATCTGATGCTAATTGCCTTGGGTCATGTCTGACAGTTTCAGTTCTCCAAAAAGATCAACAGAATACGAGGTCCATTAAACGTGAAGGAAGATATAAATGGTAATTTAATCTTTTTTGTCTTCATTAAATTTAAATTGTTTAAGAGAGCTAAATTTCCGCGGTGGTCTCTGTTTTCACCTGCAGCCAATGTGGTGCAGAACAAGATCCCAGATGAAGGGGGTGAAGGAGACGGCGACAAAGTTGACCTGGCCGAACAGTCTTTGCTTAATAAATTGATCCGCCACTCTCTGGTGAAGAACCGAAACCAAGTTGAGGTCCAACAGGCGGATCCCAACTCTCCTCTGTTCTCCGTGAAGACTTTCCAGGAGCTCAGGCTGTGAGCTCTTTGGCGAAAGCCTTTTTTTTTTTTTTCATACGGTTTACTGCTTATTTGATTATTTTGTGAAATCTAACCCTGAGGGCCTTCACTGTTAGGAAACCTGAATTGTTGCAAGGTGTCTTCAACATGGGATTCAACAGACCGTCTAGGATCCAGGAGAATGCTTTGCCTCTGATGCTGGCGGAACCGTGAGTTCATATTTGTACTTGGGCTGTATTGTGGAAACATTTTGTCTTTTTAATATGATTGTTTTTATATGTACAATCTCCAGTTGAAGTTCAATTTGGTTGATTTATCAATGAAAATACCATCTACTGTTTCGTAAAGGAATTATATGATGTCAAGGTTCACCAAAACTTTTCTGACATCACTTAAAATCTTTCATTTAAGGATGGAAAGGTCCCCAGTAAGGTCAGGATCAGCTAACAACGGCCCCATGTCACTATTCTTTCATCTTTAAAGTATAGCTAACCAGCAAACCAACTTTTTTGCTGATAAAATATCTAAATAGGTTAAGGTATCTTTGCTTCCGTTAAAATGTTGATGTTCTTGTGTAAATGTATTTAGTTCTGCCTCCCCTGGTCTCAGTGCTGCCCTCCTTAGGGTGAATAGTTGAACTTCCCTATTGATTAAAACTGTACAACTTGGTACAACCATCTCTGGGAGCCCTGTGTTCAGGTATAAAACTATCTCACTCAGACACAGTTTTGAGTCAATTGTGAGGATTGATATGAGTCGAAAAAACACATTTGCAGGGTTTTGTTGTAGTTTTATTTACTTGCCTGTAAATTAGTACTATTTGTTTATGGGGACCAAATGGCAAAATGTGGAAGCAGATTGATGTATTGACCAGAGCCAGTGTAAGCAAAAGATTTGAGTGCCCTGGCTTTTTTCCCCCCCTCTTCTTTATTTTTGTCATTTTAGTTAAATGCATATATTAAAAAGGCATTAAGCAGCTCTATTAAATCAAGACTATTAAGTTTTGGTGTAACATCATCTTGGCTTTAAGTGAATACTTGTTCTGTTATTGCTGTTTTTCTTTTAAAATGTAAAGCATTTCTTCTTTCCATGCATGCTCTCGTACTGTCTAGACATCAGAACCTGATCGCTCAGTCACAGTCTGGCACTGGTAAGACTGCAGCTTTCTCTCTGGCCATGCTGAGTCATGTGAACCCTGACAATACCTGGACTCAGGTGAGCAGAAAACTTTCAGAGCATCCGATGCCTCCAGTGCCAGTTTGTCTAATTTTTAACAAAGACTGAAAATCTCTCTTTTTAGTGTCTTTGTGTTGCGCCAACGTACGAGCTCGCGTTGCAGATCGGCCAAGTGATCGAACAAATGGGCAAATTCTGTCCAAATGTGAAACTGGCCTACGCCATTCGAGGGAACAGAAGTAAGATCCTGAAATGGCCTTTTTGTTTTTAGGTAATAGGCTGTGTTTACTTACTATATTTGCATATATATCACAAAACATTCAAGAAATCAAATAAATATATCTAAAACAGTTAAATCTGTTATCTAAACATGGAGGAGCTGCTTTATCACATCATTTATAGAAGAAAAGAGGAAATTTTGTGTATCGTCACTTTCCAAAAATAATGACTTGTATCATTTTTTTTAGCAAAAGAAAAAAATCTTTCTTTCCCCTCCCTCCAACTTGGAAGGTGATGATATATAACATAACATTTGTATACATTCTTAATTACATTTAAGTAGGGACTGAATTAAAAACTAATCACTTAGGCCCGCTAAAATGTAAACTATTTGACGAGAAACATGTCTTGTTAAAGGGTGAATGAAGTTAAGTATGTTAGAAAGGTTTCTAACACACTCAAGTTTGCTGTTCTCGGAGTCAAGGTGGTAATGTTTTATATCTGCATGACACTTTGTGTTTTCCAGTGGACCGACGTGTCAAGTTGCAAGAGCAGATTGTAATTGGAACCCCAGGCACCATCCTTGACTGGTGCACCAAGTACAAGCTTATTGACCCAAAGAAGATCACAATGTTTGTGTTGGACGAAGCTGATGTGATGATCGCCATGCAGGGTCATCGGGACCAGAGCATCCGGATCCACAGGTGGGTTTCTTCCTGAAAAACCTGATGTTGAAAAAAAAAAAAAAAAAAAAGCATATCTGATAACTGCCTTTCCTGTTTTAAGGCTGCTCAACAAAAACTGTCAGATGCTGCTGTTCTCTGCAACATTTGAGGACTCTGTGATGAAGTTTGCCGAGCGAGTGATTCCCGATCCAAATATAATCCGACTGAAACGAGAAGAGGAGACGCTGGACACAATCAAGCAGTTCTATGTGCTCTGCAGGGAGAAGGAGGACAAGTTCACAGCGCTCTGTAATCTGTACGGGTGTCTGACTATTGCACAGGCAATGATCTTCTGCCATGTAAGTTGAAAGTTATTTTTCAAATAAGCTTTAGAAATTATTTTTTAGTATGTGAAATAAGTTTGTTTTTTTGTTTATTTGCGAAGGAATGCTTCTTGTTCCAGTTTTTTTTTTTAATTATTATTATTCTAGTTTGTTTGCCTAAAAAGTCCAGTTTGTTCGGAAAGGTGTGAATGTGCAATCAAACTGTGATGTGATTGCAAAAAAACAAACTCTGCTCCACTGACAAACCTAAGTCTCGGTTCAATTGAATTGAACTTTAGTGAGGTGAGGTGAGCACGTGAATGTCAAACAGACCACAGACCGCTCAAAAATAGGTAGGGGTCTATAGTGCAAAGCATTCTGGGTAAATAAAGCCAAAACAAATCCACATGTCTAGGCTTGTGGTCTTTTACCAACAACAAAAGAGAAACCTTTCGACTGCTAAAATCTTGACGCTACTCCGTTTGTATTAACATTTTATGAGGAAGTTGCGCACAGTGCCTTCTTCAGAGGTTTTCATGCCATTTCCTTCAGTACTTCATGGTGTAGCGCCACCACAGATGAAGGGGGGAACTGATTTTATTTATTTATTTATTTTTTTTTTAAGGGTTTGGTTCGTTTGATACTTAAGTGTGAAACCAAACTGCACAAACTTAAAATGTAATAAATATTGAGATTTTAACTCCTACTTAAGAAGATCCGGAAAACCATCACAAATGAGGTATGCTGTATTTGTCCAGTAACTGAACAGAAGTCTGTGCTAATGTGGTATTGAAGTGACGCCACTTTGTTTCAAAGTTTTGTGAATTTCCTTGATCATGCTCAATTTGTTTCAGACTCGGAAGATGGCTGGCTGGCTGGCCTCTAGTCTGATAAAGGAGGGCCACCAGGTGGCGCTGCTGAGCGGGGAAATGGCAGTGGAACAGAGAGCCGCTGTCATCGAACGCTTCAAAAACGGCAGAGAGAAAGTGCTTGTGACCACCAATGTGTGTTCCCGAGGCAAGTAGATCTGCAATTTTAAACTTTGTGATGCTAAGGGTGTTTATAATATCCCTCACACATATTTCTATCTGTTTGCAGGTATTGATGTGGAGCAGGTGTCCCTTGTGGTGAATTTTGACCTCCCGGTGGATTTGGAAGGGAACGCCGACAACGAGACCTACCTGCACAGGATCGGTCGCACAGGACGTTTCGGCAGAAGAGGATTTGCTGTCAACATGGTGGACAGCGAAAACAGCATGGAAATCATTAAGCAAATTGAAATGCATTTCAGTGAGATTTCTTTGTTTTGATACATTTTTCAGTATAATGACATATCATCAGATCCTAATTTGAGTTTTTCCTTTTGTCCCAGACAGGAAAATCACAAAACTCGATACCAGCAATCTTGAGGAAATGGAGAAGATGGCAATTTAATGTTCTGCTGCTTTGCATATGTAACAATTGACACCTTTTACTTTGTGTCACATGGTTTGTTTTCTGCTAGTTTTAATGCTTGCTATAAAAGACTGTTTCTTGTACTTTTTTTTGTTGTTTTTGTTCAGATTTTCTTTTGAGCTGCTTCAACACTGAGGTTGTACAGTCTCCACAGGCTGCTAAAAGATGTGTGTTTGCAGTGTTATTGATTATATTAAGTGAAATATCAGTGTTATTTTTGTGATGTGTATGTAGTGTATATAGTTTTGCATGACATGTTTGCAGTTTTTTGAAAAACTTGTTTCAGCCCAGTGGAGACTTCAGTGTCAGTTTCTTAATGCATTTCTGTGCATTATTGCTTTAAACAAACCAAAAAAAATAATCTTCTCTGTTTCCAGCTTCCTGTAGTTAGTCATGTTAAGCCTGTATTAAGTACAACAATCCATCTCTTTTTTTTTGCAATTTGTTTGAATAAATTTGTCAGAGTGACCAGCAGTCATCTGAAGTTCAAATAGAATGGGTTTTATTTATCTTGTGGATGCAAAGCTTTTAAAGTTTCAATCATGTAAGGCTCATTTTGTGCATCTGTTTAGCGAAAAGAAATGTAAACATTTGATTTAACGCATGTTTGATAGATTAAGGCAACCCACTTTGAGCTGATTGCTTCCTTTATCTAATGATTTAATGCTTCATCAGCTCAATGCTTAAAAGCTTGGGTCTGATGAAACGATAGCATGCAACACTCTGAAAAGACTAATTTCATAGTAAATTAGACTTAGCATTGTTAAAAAAAATATTGGCTGATGTGAAAAAACTAAAGAGTTGAAGAGAAACTTTCAAATCAAAAGAGGGTGTCGATTTTTCAAAAATAAATGCTTAACTTTAAAATGCCTTGACATTTTGGATGTCATAAAACTTATTCCAAGGATGATTTCTTGTACAGTTGAAACCAGAAGTTTGCATGTACTGAGAATAAGGACTTCTTTTTCCTTCCTGTCTGAACTGAAATCTGACCAGACATCTCTTATTTTAGATCAGTCAGAATTACCAAAGTTATTTTTACAAACTGTTTTTGGAATTTTCTTCAAATTCAAAAATGTACACATCTTTGGTCAGTATTGGGATGGTAGTGTATCAAGACTGACTTGGCATAACTTGGGTCAAACCTTTCTGGTTTCCTTCCACAAACCTCAGGTTAATTAACACATTTTGTTGGTATAGCAAAATGTACAGATTGAATTAGAAGTATCAATTGAGCCCAAAATAGTCATTTTTTTAATAAGGCAAATGTGCAAAACACTTTTTTTTTCTACAATATTTGTTAAAAAATATTACATGCTTAGTTTATTAAGCAGTTAAAAATAACAATACAATCTTTGTGACTTTAGTTTTGTTTGGCCCACAAGTACTTTTGATTTATAATTTTGGCCAACATAGCAAAACGTTTGGACACCTTGGTCTCTAGATTGCGTGTTATGCAACTGGTAGCCTGTTCACGATTTATTTACCTCCGAGAATAAGCAGGTATTGCCGATACTCTAATTTGAAGTGCAACAGTATATTACTAAATTTTATTTAATTCTGTTATTGGACGTTGCTAAAGTTTAAAGACCAAACATGGTTGTTAGTTTAAAAAAAGAAAAGTATTTGACCTGCTGGTCACCACGCAATGAACAAATCGACCTATTCTGATTTCTGATTGGTGCGTTGTTTTTGCTCATAAACGTGGCTCACCAGGTTAATTCAAAATTACTTTAATGATTTAGCTCAATAAAGTATGGTATTTTTGCATCAGCGCTTTGTTTAATAGTGCTGGAAATGGTCACTGTTCTGAGAGATGCACAGCACTGATCTGTTCAGGATGCCACACCGCTCCAGGGTCATGTCCATGTCTGTAAAGGTTCTGCGTGGCACATCCATGGTCTCGATGAAAGCCGTTCTGTAGGTGGCAGCAAACCGAGCCTCTGCGCTGGCTTTCACCGCCCGCAGGGTGTCGGTGGGGTCAAAGTACTGCTCAAACCTCCGACCGCACGGCGCTCTTACAGCCAGAAGCAAACTGCCTGAATTAGGTGTTGGTGCTGTTTCTGAGGGTTCACACCAGGCTCCCACACTGAGATGCCCATTAGTCCCTTCCTGCTCCAGTCTCCTGCTTTTGGTCACTTCTCCAGACAGGTTGAGCTGTACCATCATTTCATCCAAGTTCTTCTGCGACCTCTTCTCGGACTTCCTGGTCGGTATGGATGGAAGGACTTTGTACTTATTTAGAGATACTCTCGGAACAGCATCAGGCTCCTGCGGGAGCAAGTGCCGAAGTTCCTCCTTGTTCCACCGCCGGGCCTGCCGAAGCTCAGGCTCGGACAGGGAGCGGACGGTTCCGTCCGGCTTGCCCCTGAGTTGATAGTTTGGGGGCTTCGGGTCGATGTGTGAACCACCTGGATGTAGCAAGCTGTCAACGGCGGGTCTGCTCCTCCCTTTCGAAGACTTTGGTCTTGCTAAATGCATTGATAACCTCCCTCAGCTGCTCCACTTGATGATTTACAAAGTGTCAAGAAAACGCTGTTAGTTTACACGATGACTCACACTGAGAGGCCTTTTAAGAATCAAAACCTACTGTAAAAACAAGTAATTGTACTCACAAATGTATATGAAGCGCAACTGGGTCGTTTACCTTTCACGTAGTTGGTGGAGTTCCTTTCACTTTTCATCGGCGTCGGCAGGCGATCTGGTAACTATGGTAACCGGCTTAGCTCTATTGACACCTGGCGTTGGAAACGTGCAACTGCAGCTAACATTTCATAAACTAATTTTGAAGAACAATCTTGGGTGGGTTCGTAGAATCGCCCCGGACGAGCTAATCCTACCGCGACAGAACAGATGAAACTCAAACTATTAGAAACATTAAGAACTAAATACACGGAGAAGGACACTTTGTTTCTGCAAACAAAATAAAATCTGGTTGTTTTAAAAGCATTGCTCTCTACGTTGAATAAATAATTAAGGTCTGAGCAGACTAAATGTGTAAGATTTTATAGCAAAATAGAGCTAAATACAACGCTGGCCTTAAAAACCTGCTAGAGATGACAAAATATTCATATTTCAGCAGGAGACTGACAAAACATACAACCAGCCAGAGCTACAATGGATTGGTTCAAATCAAAGCATATTCATGTGTTAAAATTCATTAGTCAAAGTTCAGACCGAAATCCAATTAAAAATCTGTGTCAACACTTCAAATTTCTGACCGAGTCATTTTCAAAAACAGATCTCCAGCTTTATGTACCAAGCAAATTGCAGAAAAAGGTGTTTCAACAAAATGTTGACCCAGTTAAGATGAATGCAGAGGCAGCAGTCAGATAAAACATCATTCTGCACTGTTTATTTAATAAAAAGGGTTACGAACAATGTAGTTTAAAATAACACAATTTACATTCAAGAAACCCATCATCAGCGCTTTTGTGGATTTAAATTCCTATCAGCCCTTGGACCAGTGTATTAACTCTTAATATGGGCTTAGCAATACAATTAAGCAATTAAATTACTGGCAATGTTTTTCGCTTATATATGGTATCAAACTAGATTTACATAGAACAACTGATAGGCTATCTACTGGTATTAGGTATTAGGAAATTTATAATTTTAAAGACTAATTATTTGGTTCATGAATAATGTGCCCACAGTTAAATACCTCCTGCTTTTTAATTTAAAGAACACATAAGTAACAGTAAAATAATCGATTTACTTTACATGATAATGAGTCCAAGATAAACATGCAATATTTTACCTAAAATTGTAATGCACATAAGTACAATCAGTGTGAAAAATTACTCATAGATATAGCACACATGCTGGGATAATCATACAGCAGCAGCAGTTTCCACAGCACTCCAGCAAGAACAATTTACAGACAGATAAAATCTAGCACTTGTTCCCTTTCTATGGTAAATCAAGCAGGTTGTGTTTCTGGTAAAGTTCCTCTGTGATCTGGTACACCTCATAAAGGAGAGGCACAGCCTTCCCCAGAACGTCCACAACCTGCTCAGGTGTGCCGACGTTCATCACTTCAAAGAAAGCCGGTCTTACAGGGAGGCCGTAGAAAGCCATGCCGGCTGACTTGCGGATCAGCCATGTGTGGTGCTGGGCCAGGGACTCGTTGTAGGCGTCCCTGCACATGACTGAAGTCTTGTCGTCTTCCTTGCTGGTGCGCAGGCGTTCCAGGAAGAGCTGAAGCCACCTCAATGCACGGTGGAGCCTCAGCAGAGTGCGGCAACCCGACTCAGGGTAGATGCCCTTCTTGTCCACGTCCACCAGTTTATTGTCCAGCTCAAACTTGACCATGGACTGCACGGTGGCGTAGTGAGGGCCGTTCTCACTCTTCAGGAAGTTCATCAGGATCTGGGTCTTGCTGACAGCGTCTTTAGAAATGAAACCGAAGAGGCTCCCCAAGCTGTTCAGAAGCCTGTTGACAAGACAAATATACACACCCTGTGAGCACTTTTATATTTTCTTACTGCAGTCAGTGTGCTTACAGGAGTCTAGCTCTGAAACATAATCGGATAAGAGTTGTAAGAATCTACCAGGCTTAACCTCCAGTGTTTCCTTTTCAAGGCCCATGTATATATATGAATAAGAAAATTAATCAGTCACAACTGATTGGGTCATAACTTTCTGTCAAACTATCAGAAAGCTAACACATATTGAGAAGCACTGTTAAGATTCAGACATTCCCTTATGCAAGACATATATATTTATTCCACACAAAGCTGTGTGCTTCATGCACTTGTTTGCTAATTCTAATGAATATGGCTTACGGCTTACTAAAACTGAATTTTTAGTTCCACAATCATAATATTACATAACACCGCTAAAAAAAACAGAGATATGACATCTTTACCATCTTCTCAAGGCCAGTTATCCTTGCTACTTGTGCACCTTGTTTTACCACAGTTTTTCCTCCCACTTAACTATCTTCTACAATGAGTGGATACAGCTCGTTGACAGGTTGTTGTTTTTTTTTGTAATTTTTTGTGGGTTACCCTCATAGTTATTAACTTTCCAGTCAGTACTTTACGCTATGACAGTGTAGACCAGAGGTGTCAAACTCCAGTCCTCAAGGGCCGCTGTCCTGCAGTTTTTAGATGCGCCACAGGTACAAAATATTAGAATGAAACGGCTTAATTACCTCCTCCTTGTGTAGATAAGTTCTCCAGAGCCTTGCTAATGACCTAATTATTCTATTCAGGTGTGGTGCAGCAGAGGCACATCTAAAAGTTGCAGGACAGCAGCCCTTGAGGATTGGAGTTTGACACCTGTGGTGTAGACCATAACATTTCTGCGTTAAAAACCCTTTTCAGTTTGCTCATCATAAACCAATATTATCAGAATGAACATCAGAAATATTACTTTGCTTGTGGAATGATCTATTTTATGTACGAGATTCACATTTTTGATAAAGTTAGAACAAAATAAATTTACTTTTCACTGTGGAGCTGGAAAGCACCGTCAGTAAAAGGAGTGGTGTCGTCAGCCATTACTCCTAGCATCTGTTAGGCAATTTCAATGTTTTTACATTCCTGCTATTATTTGTACATCCCTGTTTGCACTGTTATTTCCATTTCTTGTAGATTGTCTGCTTTTGTTTTATGCACAAATATGCATATAGTTTAAAAAAAATCCAACTCAGTTGCACATTTCTTAAAATCAGAGTTTGCCGTTTTTATTAATTGCCTAGTTTTTTTTTTTCTTATGCTGTATAAATCACTCACTGTATGGTTCTGATTTTGGTTTCTTGTTTCTGATATTATATTTTTATTACTGTTAATCTACATGCTTCAACTTATCTGCCTCTTTGCTGCTGGTACACCTGAATTTTCCCACTCAGGGATAATAGAGGTCATTTCTGTTCTAATTTAATTTACTGAGATGCGCCTGGATTGTGGAGCCCTACTTCAAGCAGGGGTTCTAGTTTACTTTTCAAATAAGGAACTCAAAGTGCAAATGAATTAACTAGAAGTGAAGTCGTCCTTGAGACAAATTCTCCTTAGGAAAAGCAGGTACACAGGGAACAAAGTACAAAACGTATGTGCAAAATATGGCTTCAAGCTCGCCAGCAGGCTGTGTAAAGTGTCAAAAGAAGCAGAAGGAGGTTGTTAATGTCATGGTCACACGTTAGTGATCCAACCTGAACAGCACGTTACCTCGAAAACTCAAGACCTGAATGGTTGGTTTGGCTAGTCTTCAGGAATCCAGTCATTGTAATTTACATTGAACTTTACCTAACCTGCTTTTTAATTTAGAATTTAATTAGCGCAAGCCTTGTACCTTACTAAAATACTTTTTTCTTTAAAAATATCCAGCTATTTTCAATTACTTTAATGTAATCCATTACTAGGGAGGTTTAAAACACGACAAAGATATTTAACAATCACTTACTTCACAAGACCTCTCCATCCAGAAACGTAGTGTTCGATGTAAATTTCTTTTTCTGGCGATAGACACGATTTAAAACTCTCCAGGACCTCCTGCAAACAGAATTTCTGATTCTCCGAATCTACCATTGTGGGTTTTTTCCACTATCAGGAAGCGAACTAAATAAATAAATAAAAAAATGCTGTTTAACAGCGACCGATTCTTCTAAGAGGAGTCAGGTGTAAAGGGAGAGAGACAAATGTCGAACACATTACCGGTGAGAAAAGCTCAGAGGGATAGTAATAAAATTCGTCATTGTGGTTTTTCTGCAAGTTATTCCTGTTCTTAAGTCCATACCTACTGCGCAGACTCGAACCGGAAAAGTCCCGGAAATTGAAAGAAATGCCTTCAAGATAAAAGTACAGGGAATGTTAAGTAAGACGCCTGATTTATTTTTGTAATTGAAAATTCGTCGACAAGCTAAACAACGCACATGTTCTAAATGTTATTTACACATTTACAAGTAATATGTAAGAATAAGCACACTTACATTAGTTTTGTTTTAACATAATCACTTAAAAATAAAAGTAAATCGTGCTATATTAGGTTACAACGTTTTGTAGGAAGTCTCTTTTGTAAAGTGGTATGAAGTTTTAAAGTATTCCTCGAATTATTGCGATTTTGGAGAATACTGTGAGAAAAATCTCGACTTTATTTTTGAAAGCCTTTATTATGGAAGCACTTGCCGGAAATTCAGTTGTAGCCCGCTAGCTTACTGCTTCTGTATGAAACGCATGCACAAATTTCAACAAGCATTTCTTTCTCATTTACTGTGTTTAGATAAACTATTATTAGAACTTTAGCGGCATTACTCATTAGTCTACAGAATCCAGCAGTGGACAGATGATACAAAATGCCTGAAATAAAAGTAACACCTTTAGGTGAGTACTGTAGCCTTTTATCCCGAGGCTAAGCTAGTTCCGTCAATATTACATATTTATCTTCAATTTAACACTCAGAGCGTTTCGCTCTCTTCCAGCAAAGCTTCGTTTTTTGTTTGTTTGTTTGTTTGTTTTTGTGCATATGTATTGATAATAAAATAATTGTTTTTAACATTTTCACTCACTTTTTTTAAGCAGAATTGTGTTTGTAGATTCTCAGCTTCTGTGTTCCCTATCCAAGGTGCTGGACAGGATGTCGGTCGCAGCTGCATCCTCGTGTCCATCGGAGGCAAAAACATCATGCTGGACTGTGGGATGCACATGGGATACAACGACGATGTAAGTGAATCTAAACAATATAAAAACATGTGTGT